GTGACATATTGACATGATTTCCATTTCTAAATTAGTAATATGATATCTCTCAACATTTAAAAAAAGTCTGTATACTATATGGCTATAGTTTTCAAAATTATTTTTGTAAAGTTTTGCTTAAATAGGCAATGGATTTATTTTTCCATTCTGACATATTTTAGTCTTTAAATTATTATAATTATTATAAAGTGTTAAATTATAACTAAAAAAGCCTTGTACTTTTTTGTCATATTTGGCATTATTTATTCTTCTTCACTTCATATATAACATAATATATATGATTTATTTTTCTTATATTCATAACATAGATCAGCTTTTCTTATTCTACATTAAAGTCTTTATATTTTATTTTGTGTGTTCACTTAATATGTCCCATGTTTATATTTATTTACCCTGATAATGTTGGACTTCCATACTTTTGAAATATAATATGCATACAGAAAACAGCTCAAAATGTACATGGCCAGTTTAAAAACTATTTCTAAAGTTATATCTATCTTACTCTTGCCCAGGTGAAGAAGTGGAACATTCATAGCACCCCAGGAGGCTATGTGCATTCTTCCAATGCAATTATCCAAACCACAGAATTTAAGCAATTTTCTGATAGTCCAGGTAAGCATATCCTTGTTTTTCTTGATAGTTTTAATACCTATGTGATGGACATGTATTTATCTAGCATAGTTTTGTCTTCTTGGAAATCTTGTACAAATGGAGCCGTATAATAAGGATTATTATGTGCCTTACTTTATTTGCCCAATATAATGTTTGTGATTTTGCATCTTTCACGTGTTTATCAAGTTATCCATTTTCAGCTTTGTATAGTATTGTATGGTATGAATGTATGGATGAAATGTATTTCTACATTCTTCTTTTGAAGGTTTTAGTTTATTTTTCACGTTTTTTGGCAGTTACAAGGATTTCTACCATAGAGACACCTGCCACGTTTTCTGGTTTATATGCACTTACAGGCCTGTGCTGTGGTGAGAACTACATTACCCAGAATACTGTGCCCCGAAAGTCCTGCCGCCTTGGGCCAATGAAGGCCCAGAAAAGGAGCGTTTCCGCGAGTGCGCGCTACGCTGGGGCGGGGCTTCCGGTGTCTTCCTTGTGGTGGTCATTTTGGTAGTTGATTGCGTCCGCTGGACTGGACGTTCCAGGTCGCTGGCTCGGGCCCAGGTAACTGGAGCTAGAAAGGGCGAGAGGAGGCGTTGCCCCCACTGCAGAGGAGCGGGTCGGAGGTTCGGTCGGAGCGTCACCTGGGCGATCTGCCCCGGACGTCCCTCCCCGATCTCCGACCTCGTGCCGCGCGTCTCCCGGTCGCGATCCGCCCGCGGGCTGCTATGGCGGCGGCGGAGTTGATGAAGCCGCCACAGGTTAGTCTTGCGTTCCCCGGGCCTTCCCGCAGATCCTAAAGCCCCGAATGAGGATCGCCTGCTCAGGTCGCTGCACGTCAGGCGCCTGTCTCCGGAACGGTGAGGCGCTCGTGGGTGGGGTTCCCGGCCCGACTGCCAATGAGCTGCAGGGGCGGAAGTTGCAGACAATGGGCCTGCACGTGCGAAGCCTAGAAGGTGCTCCTGAGCCGGGACCATCCGGGAAACCTGGGCTTCTACTCGTGTCCGCAGAGAATGTGAGAATCACGCCTGCCATGATAGCCTGAGCAGCAGGACCTTCGGTCTGAGTTTTTCGGGAGCCGTGGAGGGTTATGAACAAAAGGGGAACATGATCTGAGTGAGAGTTTTTGAAATATTTCAAAGGCTGCCCAGGGAGAACAGACTAGGAGAGAGGATGATGAGGGAGGACGCAAGGAGACCGGTGAGGAGGCTACTGCAATAGAATCCAAGAGAATTATGGTGGATTCTGGACCAGACCGTGGCGGGCGGGACGTTAATAATAATAATAATAATAATAATAATAATAATAGAATAATAGTAAAAATAGTCTTGATAGATCTTAAAGGTAAAGCCAGCAGGAATTTTTGCTGTATCATTTGTGCCTTTGAGCAAAAGTATGAATGAAGTATGATCCCAAGTTCTTTTACCTGAACATCTGGAAGAGTTGAGAAGGGAATCTGGTGAGGGAGCAGATTTCAGGGAGTGATTAGGAGTTGAAATTTGGTCACTGTCACAAAAATGTCCCACAGTGCAGCTGTTACATGGGCACTGGAATCAAGTAGGGAATTCAGGGGAGGGGACTAGCTCAGTGATGTACGAATGGTGACAGACTGGGGCCTAGACTCAAGCCAAGCCTGGGCCTCAAATTTAGAGGGGTTTAAGGTTTTATTTTGAGATGAGCCCTCAGATGAAGGAAGGGAGGACTGAGGTGGGAGGGTGGTGGGCCTTACTAGGCCACCTGCAAATGGGAGGGGCCTGGGGATTCCAGGGATTCTTTCTGTGTAAGGAATAAGGACCTCTGCATAGGATGGATCTGAGGATGGAAGGCTCTGTCGATTCACCATTCTGAAGACTCAGTAGACTGTTCACTCCCTGTGAAGCCAGGAAAAGGTCAGCCAGACTTGTGGAGCAGCCCAGGCCCAAAAAGGGCACAGGTGCTTCTGCTCTCCCAGGAAAATACAAGTTTAAACTGTATAAATTTAACAAATAAATTTGTTATCAATTAGTAATTGGTTGAAATGACAGTATGCCTCTGTGCTCTAATAAAAATATATATATTTGGTTTTTGTCATGCATTCCTGGCAAAGAATTCCTAAAACCTTTGTAATTTTCTCAGGGAAAAGTGTCTTTTGTTATTCATAATAAGACCCTTTTGATAATATACTCATGTACCACGCAACAACATCAACTGCATATACTATGGTGGTCCCATGACATTATAATACCATATTTTTATTCTACCTTTTCTATGTTTAGATACACAGATATTTAATGTTATGTTTAAATTGCCTACAGTATTTAGTACAGTAACATGCTGTAAATGTTTGTAGCCTAGAAGCAATGAGCATATAGCCTAGGTGTATAGTATGTTGTCCTATCTAGGTTTGTGTAAATACACACTATGATTTTGGCACAATGATGAAATTGCCTAATGATGTATCTCTCAGAACATGTCCCCCACTTATCCTCAGGGAGATATGTTCCAAGACCTCCGGTGGATGCCTGGAACTAGGTAGTACAGAACACTATATATACTGTTTTTTCCTATACATACATACTTATGATAAAGTTTACTTTATAAATTAGGCACAGTAACATATTAAGAACAATAACAATAACATAGAACAATTATAACAATATACTGTAATAAAAATTATGTGAATGTGGTATCTCTTTTCCTCTGAGAATATCTTACTGTATTATACTCTTCTTATGATGAAGAAGAAATGGAGCTGGATGGCACAAGATTTCCTCACACCGCTTAAAATGCTGCACAGTTTAAAACGTATGAATTATTTATTTCTGGTATTCTTCATTTAATGTTTCTCAACCAAGGTTGTGTGGGGGTGAGGGGAAACTTCCCCTCCCCACCCACCCGAAAATTTGCTGAAAGATCAACTCACAATTAAGGCAGATTAACGAGAGGAAGAGGTTTATTTACCATCCTTACAGGGAGATTCACAAATGATTACCCAATATTCCAGTGGGATCCAGACATTTTTAAACCACCCTTTTAGAGGGGAGGGGGAGATGAGAAATATAGGTAATTCTGTTTAGGGACAATAAATGGTTGCTAGGGAGAATGAATGCATGGGAGAAACAGATTGACTTGTAAATGATTCTTTTTGCAAATGATATTAACCTGAGAGACAGGTATTATATTTAAAATCATTTGGGCCAGGTCTGGTTATGTTCTTAATCATTTTTTCCTTCAATATATTGAGATAGCGGGGAGGGGAAGGAAAGTCAATTGTTCTGTTTGATGGGTCCGTCCAGTTTATGCAGATAAAGGGGAATTCCCTTCCAATGCCTGTTGATCTTGAAGGGCCTTTAATTCAAAGTATCCTTTATACCAAGGAGATACATTTTGGGGTGAAATTTCCTGAGCATCTTCAGTAGACGACTGTACCTGCATTTTATGAGAGGGCTTAGGGTGAGAAGAATTAGAATGGGGTCTCTAGATAGGCTCAAAGTGGAGCTGGTCACCAAACAGACCAAGTGATTATAGAATTTGAACTTTCAGCCTCCAGGGAAAAGAAAGGAACTACAGATTAGGGTTAGATAAAATCTTGAACAGTGAGATTCAGGCATTTGCAAGTTGTGAACACTTCCAAATGCTGGAAGGGTGATCTATCCACAGAGGGTGTGGAAGCACCTTGCCACACCCATCTCTTAACATTTGGCAGTTCTTGAGTTGTATCCTTTATAATAAACCAGTAAATGTAAAGTATTTTTCTGAGTTCTGTGAGTGGTTCTAGTGAATTATGGAACCTAAGGTCATGGCAACTCCAAAATTTGTAGCCAAGTTGGACAGAATTACAGTTGACTGCATGTTGGCATCTGAAGTAAGGGCAGTTTTGTATGACTCAGCCTTTAAACCTGTTGGTTCAGATGGTGACTCCAGGTAGTTAGTACCAGAATAGAATTGAATTGTGGGACACTCAGTTGTCAGAGAATCAGAGAAGTGGTGTTGGAAAAGACACTACATATTTTGGTGTCAGAAAGAATCACAGAAACCTCTAATTAATGAAATACCGTATTCATATAAAGCCTTAAATGACAGGTAAGAGATACCCAAATTTGCAAAACATTTATAGAAATTTTAATCCTGTGGTCAATAACAGCTAAGTCTTAGTATTGGACATGCACTAATGAGTTTGATGCCTACAATAGCACTGTGAGGTGGTTACCATAAGTGTTTCCACTTTACAGATGAAGATAGTCTCAGGTTAGGTCTCTGTCCACTGTGACACAGTGGTGAGGGGTAGTGTAGATGTGAGGCTGTGTGTCAGCCAGAGGTCACCCTTTTCTGGGACAAAACGGGAATGACTCAGCCTTTGTATACACCACCATGATCACCTTGTTCTCATAGCCTACCTCTTCCCACAGATTACCATGGCAACAGAAGGGCTTGTGGAGCCATCACAGGTAAGTGGAAGAAGTCCCAGGTTCTCACCAACCCTGATCCCTACACCCTGGCACACAGATACAAGTGATAACTGGCGTTCTGGGACTCTTTGTCCTTAGTCCTGGGGCCCTGGAGTCACCTCAGGCCCAGAATCCTTAATCATGGTCAGAAGTTATATGGAGATGCTTCCATTTCTGCATCCAATAGGATGAAATGATGAAAGATTCCCTGGGCATGGGAACCAGCATGTCCAAATACTTGGAGGTAAGAATAACATGGGCATGTTTAGAAAACTGCAAGTCTCCATTGTGTCTGCTGAGAACAGAGAAGAAAGTACAGGAGTCCGTCCTGAGGGGCACTTTGAGGAGCAAAGGCCTCTACTGAGGGTGTTGGGAGGGATGGAGGGTTTGGAGCAGAGGAGGGAAGTGATACGACTAAGGTCTAAACAAGCTCCTCTGTTGGCAAAGTGGGTAACGGATAGCAGGGCGACCATGGAGACTACTCTGACATTCCAGGTGAGTGTTGATGGAAGCTGGATCAGAGCAGCAGCTGTGAAGTTGGGAGAGGAGGTTAATTTCTCAATCTGTTTAGTAAATAGGGACAATTTTCTGTTGGGCATGGAGAGAGAGAGAAGTCGGGGATGACCTCAAGATGTTTGGCCTTAGCAGATGAAAGTTCAAAAGTGACATCTATTGAGGTGGAAAATGAATGGTTAGTTCAGAAGTATTTAACAGAAGTACTGTAGGAGTGAGGTTTCTCTTTTTACTTTTAATTTTTTATTAGACTATTTCTTAAAAAACAGTTTTAGGTTAACAGTAAAATTGAGAGGAAAATACAGAGATTTCTCAGATGCCCCTGCCCCGACACATGCATACTCTTCCTTATTATTAACGTCGCCACCAGAGTGCAGTGCATTTATTATAATCGATGAACTTTGTTTTGTCCTGCCAAACCTGTGGCTGAAGTCACCCCAAAAATGGCATAGGGGAGGTGCCACAAGGGATTACCCTAAACCTCCAGAGTGGTCAAGGTACTCTGTGATTTTCGGTCAGGATGCAGAAAGAAAGTGGGGGGATCTGAAGGACCCTACATACCCACATTGGCACATTGTAATCATCCAAAGTCCATAGTTTACCTTAAGGTTCACTCTTGGTGGTGTGTATTATATGGGTTGGGCAAATGTATAATGACATGCATCCATCATTACAGTATCCCACAGAGTATTTCTGTTGCCCTGAAAATCCTTTGCACTCCACCTGTTTATCCTTCCTACCTCCTACCCCCAACCCCTGGCAACTTTTTACTGTCTCCATGGTTTTGCCTTTTCCAGGATGTCATATGTTAATAGTTGGAATCATACAATATTCAGCCTTTTCAGATTGGCTTCTTTCACTTAGTAGTATACATTTAAGGTTCCTTCATGTCTTTTTTATGGCTTGACAGCTCATTTCTTTTTAGCACTAAATAATGTTTCACTGTCTGGATGTACCAGTCATGTATCCATTTACCTACTAAAGGACATCATGGTTGCTTCCAAGTTTTTGCAGTGTGAACATAACTGCTGTAAACATCCATGTCCAGGTTTTTGTGTGGACATAAATTTTTAACTCCTTTTTGGTAAATACCAAAAAGCACCATTGCTGGATCTTATGGTAAGGGTGTGCTTAGTTTTATGAGACACTAGCAAAGTGTCTTCCAAAGTGTCTATACCATTTGGCATTTACACCAGCAGTGAATGGGTGTGTAGAGGTATCTAGTTGTTTTAATTTATATTTCTCTGATGGCATATGATATAGAGCATCTTTTTTTGTATGCTTTTTTCCATCTGTATATTTTTAGTAAAGTTCATGTCTTTGGCCCATTTTTGAATCATGTTAGTTGTTTCCTTATTGTTGAGTTTTAAGAGTTCTTTGTAGCTTTGGATAGCAGTCCTCCAACAGATAGGTCTTTTACAGTTTTTTCCTCCTGGTGGCTTTTTTCCATTCTCTTAGTATCTTTCACAGAGCAGACGTTTTTAATTTTAGTGAAGTCCAACTTAATTATTTCTTTCATGGATCATGGTTTTGACGTTATATGTTAAAAGTCATCACCAAACCCAAGGTCATCTAAATTTTCTCCTGCGCTATCTTGTAGTTCTGTAGTTTTGCATTTGACATTTAGGTCTGTGATCCATTTTCAGTTAATTTATGTGAGGGATATAAGGTTTTCATTCTAGATTCGTGTTGTTGTTGTTTTGTTTTTGCATGTGGGTGTGTAGTCATTCCTGCACCATTTGTTGAAAAGGCTGTCTTTGATCCATTGTATTGCCTTTACTCCTTTGTCAAAGAAAAGTGGACCACATTTATGTGAGTCTCTTCACGTGCTCTCTATTCTGTTTCAGTGATCTGTTCATTCTTTTACCCATCCCTCCCTGCCTTTATTATTGTAGCTTTGTAGTAAGTCTTGAAGTTGGATGGTGTCAGTCTTACAACTTTATTGTTCTACTTTCAGTATTGTGTTGGCTATTCCAGGTCTTTTGCCTATCTGTATAAATTTTAAAATCAGTTTGTCCATATCCACAAAGTAACTTGCTGGGAGCCTGATCGGGATTGTATTGAATCCATAGATCAAATTGGAAGGAACTGACATTTTGACAATATTGAGTATTCCTTTCCAGGAACATAGAATATCCCTTCAGTTATTTAGCTTTTTTAAATTTTTTTTTAATTTCATCAGAGATTTATACTCTCCCTAAGAGAGATCGTGTACATATTTTGTTAGATTAATACCTACGTATTTCATTTTAGAAGTGCTAATGCAAATGGTACATTGTGTTTTAATTTCAAATTCCACTTGTTCATTGCTGATATACAGGAAAGTGGTTGACTTTTGTATATTAACTTTTTATCCTACAACCTTGCTGTTATAACTTACTAGTTCCAGGAGTTTTTGGTCAGGTCTTTCAGATTTTCTACATAGTCATGTCATTCATGAATAAAGACAGTTTTATTACTTCCATCCCAATCTGTATGCCTTTTATTTTCTTTGATTGTCTTATTGCATTAGCTAGGATTTCCATTGTGATGTTGAAAACCAGGGGCAAGAAGGGACATTTTTGCCTTGTACCTGATCTTAGTGGGATAACTTTGAGTTTCCCTCCATTAAGGATATTGTCTGTAGGTTTTTTGTATTTTTTTTTTTTTTTTTTTTTTTTGAGACACAGTCTCACTGTGTTGCCCGGGCTAGAGTGCTGTGGTGTCAGCCTAGCTCACAGCAACCTCAATCTCCTGGGCTCAAGCAATCCTTCTGCTTCAGCCTCCCGAGTAGCTGGGACTACAGGCATGCGCCACCATGCCCGGCTAATTTTTTTTTTCTATATATTTTTAGTTGTCCGATTAATTTCTTTCTATTTTTAGTAGAGATGGGGTCTCGCTCTTGCTCAGGCTGCTTTCGAACTCGTGAGCTCAAACAATCCACCCGCCTCGGCCTCCCAGAGTGCTAGGATTACAGGCGTGAGCCACCACACCTGACCTTGTCTGTAGGTTTTTTGTATTAATAGATAGTCTTATCAAGTTGAAGATGTTCCCCCCATTCCTAGTTTACTGAGGTTTTTGATCATTAATGAGTGTTGGATTTTGTCAAATGCTTTTTATGGATTAACTGATATGATCATGTGTTTTTCTTCTTTAGCCTGTTGATATAATGGATTACATTTATTGATCTTCAAATACCGAACTAGCCTTGCATACCTGGGATAAATCCAACTTGCTTGTGGTATATAATTTTTTTTGTACATTGTCAGATTTTATTTGCTAATATTTTGTTGAGGATTTTTTCATATATATTTATGAGAGAGAGTGGTCTATAGTTTTCCTTCATGTAATATCTTTTTCTGGTTTTGATATTAGGATAATGCTAGCCAGAGAGAATAAATTGGGAAGTATTTCCTCTGCTTCTATCCTCTGAATGAGACCATAGAGAATTGGTATAATTTCTGTTTTGTCTTGTGTAAATTTTGACAGTTGTGTCTTTGTTATCCTTGTAGTGTGCATGATCTGTAGTGATGTCTTCTCTTTCATTTCTGATATTAGTAATCTGTCCTCTCTCTTTTGTTCTTAGTTGGCTTGGCTAGACGGAGGTTTATCAATTTTGTTCTTTTCAAAGAACCAACTTTTAGTTTCATTGATTTCCAATTTTCAATCTCGTTGATTTGTGCTCTAATTTATTAATATTGATTGATTGACTAACAGGGTCTCATTCTGTCACCCAAGCTGGAGTGCTGTGGCATGATCATAGCTTACTGCACCCTTGAACTCCTGGGCTCAGGTGATCCCCCTGGTTCAACCTTCCAAGTAGCTGGGACTACAGGCACACACCATCATGCCTGGCTAATTTTTAAAATTTTTTGCTCTATAGGGTCTTGTATGTTGCCCAGGTTTTTCTCAAATTTCTGGACTCTAGTGATCTTTCTACCTCACCTTTCAGTTTTTTCAAGTTTAGATTGATTTTAGATCATTTCTCCTTTCTAATACAGTAGTAACCCCCTCATCCATGAGAGATACATTGTAAAAAACTGCAGGTAGTACCAAACCCTGCATAAACACTTATCAGGCACTGTGGCCAAAACTTCCACAGATAAAGGTGCAACAGCAAACTTAACGAAAATTTCTTTTTCCTTCTTCACAATTTCACAGATAAAAGATTCGTTTCTTTCCATAGATCTTAGCCAACTCAACATATGATTTTTTTCTTTCCTTGTTAAATTGAGTACTTTCACCTTTTTACTTAAAGGAAGCACTTTACAGCTTCTCTTTGGCATGTCTGAATTGTCAGGATCACTGCTCTTGTGCTTTGGGGCTATTATTAAGTAAAATAGGAATTACTTGAACACAAGCACTGGAGTATTGAGACAGTCGATCTGATAACCAAGATGGTTACTAAGTGACTGACAGACAGGTAGTATATACTGTGTAGATATGCTGGACAAAGGGATGGTTCACATCTTGTGCGGAACACCGTGAGATTTTATCACACTACTCAGAACAGCACATAATTTAAAACTTAGGAATTGTTTATTTCTGGAATTTCCCATTTAATATTTTCAGACCACAGTTGACCACAGGTAACTAAAACTGGAAAGCAAAACTGCACAAAAGGGGGGAGGGCTATTGTGTATGTATTCCATGCTATGTATTTCCCTCTAAGTGCTGCTTTCACTGCATCCCACAAATTTTAATAAGTTGTGTTTTTATTTTCATTTAGCTCAAAATATTTTGAAATTTCTCTCAAATATTTCTTTGATCCTTATTTAGAAGTGTTGTTTAATCTCTAGCTATTTTGGGATCTTCCAGGTATATTTCTGTTATTGCTTTCTAGTTAATTCTATCATAATCTGAAAGGAGACATTGTACAATTTCTATTCTGTTAAATTTATTAAGATGTGTTTTATAGTGCCCTTTGTGGGTTCTTTAGGGATTAGTCCAACACTGCCATAGAAATTACACTCTGGGAGGCATATGCAATTAAAGGGTTTGTTACCACTCATAGATCTTAGAAGAAGGAGGCGAGGCACGGCACGACGCCATGCAGAGGCCATATGAGAGGAGCTCCCAGGAAATGAGAGAGCGAGGACCCATGGGCAAATGCCTTTATTGGGGGTCAGGATGGAGTGCACAAGCCAAAGGAGGGAATGTTCTAGTGTGCTTGAATTTCATTAGGTCACAGGGGAGAGCAAGAAGGGGAGGTTTTGACGGGAACCTGTGCTATCACACTGGTACACCTGGTCACCTGGGTTGGGTGCTTACAGTATATTGGTGGGGCTTTTGAGATATCAGGAAAATAGGAAGCTTTAAACATTTACAAAACAGGCCCAGAATGTGGTCTATCTTGGTGAATGTTCTATGTGAGCTTGAGAAGAACGTGTACTCTGCTGTTATTGAACAGAGCGGTCTCAAGATGTCAATTTTATCTAGTTGATTGATGATGTTGTTGAATTCAGCTATGTACTTAATTGATTTTCTGACTGCTGGATCTGTGAATAACAGAAGAATGTTGAATTCTCCAACTATGATAGCGGATTCGTCTATTTCTCCTTAAAGTTCTATCAGTTTTTGCTTCACATAGTTTGATGCTCTGTTGTTAGGCACATATGTGTTAAGGATTGTTATGTCTTTTTGGAAACTTGACCTCTTTATCATTATGTGATGCCTTTTTTTTTTTATTTCTGATAACTTTCCTTGCTTTGAAGTCTGCTCTGTCTGAAATTACATAGCTATTCCTGCTTTCTTTTGATTACCATGTCACCATGGTATGTTTTTATTCATCCATTTACTTCTAATCTATATGTATCTTTATATTTAAAGTATTTTTTGTGGGTTTTTTTTCTCATAGGCAACATACAGTTGGGTCTTGTTTATTGATTCACTCTGACCGTCTCTGTCTTTGTATTGGTACATTTTAGACTATTGATGTTCAAGTGATTGTTGATAAATTGGATTAGCATCTACTGTATTTGTTGCTCTTACTCTTTGTTCCTATTTTTGTCTTCCATTCTTTTTCTCCCTTTGGTGATTTTAATCGAGAATTTTATGTATTCCCACTTTCTCTCCTTCCTTGGCTTATCAGTTATACTTTTTTTAATAGTTGCCCTGTAGTTTGCAATATACTTTTACAACTAATCAAATTGTTTTTTGCCTTTTGGTATGCTTTGTTATGTTTTCTTGATAGCTGGACATGATGTACCTGGTAAAAGGAACTGCTGTAAATAGGGCTGCGGGCAGGCCTTATTTAGAAGAACAGAGTGCTATGGCATATTTTTAAATGGTTCATTTTCCCCTCCCTCTGCTAGAAGCACAAGGGAATATTTTCTGATATTTACCATGAGAACCTGGTCTATTTCCTGCAGGAAAATATCACAAGATTGTGGTGGCCCCCTCTGCCATTGAGTCCCCCTGGAGTTTTTCGTTCTCAGAATTGTCCACACTGAGCCTCCAGCAATTTATGAATTATAGTTTAGGTTTTCCTAACCTGGCACTGGTTCCCATGGTGGTTTCCTTTCATGAATCTCTGTTTCTGTAAGCCTTGACTCCTTGTATTCACTTGTCTTTTTCCAATCTTGGGGGTAGCAATTCATCCTGTGTCCTTATCTGTCTCAGGGATCCTAGAAGAGTTGTTCATTTTTCAGTCTGTTCAACTGTTTACTTGCTGTCATGAGGGAGTGGCAACTTCCAAACTCCTTACATGCAGAATAAAAAACCAGAAGTCCAGGAGTTAGTTTTTATGACATGGAGTCTCATGTTGGGACCTCTGAGTGGAGGTGTCAAGTGCACAGCAAGAGACAGACATTGGGAGTTCAGGGAAGAGATTCAGGTGAAAACTACCCACCAGTTGGTGCCTGACACACAGACCATGGCAGATTTAAGAGGGGGACTCTTCAGGCCATGGTGGCAATGCCATCAGCAGGGAAAGATGAGGAGGGTATTCTCCAATGACTTGGTCTCTTGCATGGTCACCTGGAGAGAGGTGGGGGTCATCACTAAGACAGATGAGGGAGAGCAGTGACCCTGGTGTGCAGGGGTGGCATTGGTAGGGGAGGGGGTGTGTCCAGCTGGTGGCACAGGCTTTAAATGGGGAAGAGTTAAGAGATTCATTCAGAAGCAAAGCAGTAATGGAGGTCAAATGACACTGAGGGTAGGGCTGGTGCTTTATCTCCTCTCTGCTGGCTCAGACTTTTGTGATAACTCTTGGTGGGGCCTGGGGAGTTTCAGACAGGATGACAGATTAGGAGCTAATGAGATCAACTGGGAAAGTCATTTATCCTGCGGTGGGAGCAGCCAGGGACAGGGTTTTGATTGCATATAGGTGGGGAGAGGAAAGATGTGCGTGGTGTGGGTACAGCATGGGTGGCACTGAAGAAGGATTAGGCTCCCTTAGTTTCACACAAGGTCTGGGTGGCAGAAATTAGAACAAGGGGCCAGGCCACATGGGGAGTTCTTCATAACAGTGCTGGGACTGCCTCTGGCTTGGGTACAACAGAGGTGTGGTGTAGTGCTGGGTCCTGGTTGTACCCGGCAAGTACTGCCTGAGTCCCTTAAGCAGAGTGGCATGTGTGGAAGCCTGCAGCATAGATTCAGGGAGTAGCAGTGGTGCTAAGGGTATGAGAGTCATGGTCTGGAGATGGCAGGGGGCTGTAGTCCCAAGTGATGTGCAAGTGGGGAGGGAGTGTGAGTGGCGAGGGTAAGTGGATGTACTCAGGGTCCTTGTGCTCAAGAGTTGAAGCCAGGAGGGTGAGCACAAGTTCGTGTGTATGTGGCGTGATCTGGGTCTCCAGGGAAACTGGTTAACAGGAACCTGGGTGAGATTCTACATGCCAGGCCCAGAGCTCACTTAGCACTATCTCCCTCCCCATGTGGCAATGGTGGCTGGAGACAGTGATAAGTGGGACATGAGGAGATGTCAGGTAGCAGTAGCATGAGGAACTGGTATCTCCTCTGAATTGGGGAGCTGGGGAGGAAGAAGATTCACTGAGGGTCCTGGAGATCGAGTCTGCTCATGAACTCACCTGCCCCTATCATGACAGGGCCATGTGACCTTTGAGGATATTGTGGTGTACTTCTCCCAGGAGGAGTGGCAGCTCCTTGATGAAGCTCAGAGGTGCCTATATCACGACGTAATGCTGGAGAACTTTGCACTTTTGGCCTCAGTGGGTAAGATTCCTCAAAACCACACCATCGACCTATGCTGGCCTCTGCTTTTCCCCTTTTTCCAGGAGTCACCCTGTCTTTCCCACAGTTGAACCACAGACCTGCGCCCTGCTCCCTTCCTTGGTTTCCCGACTTACATGCTGTGTTTACCAGGCCTTGCCTTTTTGCAGCCTCAACATCTACTGTCCCAAAGCCTTTTATTTTTAGTTAAGGGTTTGGGTTCAGAGGTTTGCAGCCTGCCTGATCAACACCACTTGGCTTTGTCTTTCCTTGCTAAGGTGACTGTTCAGATCTGTGGCAGACCTGTGTCACAGGTTCTCTCTCTGCCTTTAGTAGAAATTTCTTGGGACCTGCCTGTCTCAGGAATCAACAGGCACTTACATGGGAACAGTAGGCCATGACAGCAAGACACTTCTTCAAGGTTCTTTTTGTAATAAATTTTTCTCCAGGAGTCTGTTATGGGTTGGGCCACGCAGGGCCAGTATTCTTTCTTTACTCAGCTACTTGCTTTCCCTTTAGGACTGCTACTTTTCAGGTCCCAGATAGTCTCCCTTCCTGAGCGGGGGGCAGGAGAGAGCCCTGTGTCCCTGACAGGGTGGAAAAGTCTCCAGCCATAGCAAGAGGGGTTCACGGTCCAGGGCCTTGTGAGGTGGAACAGTGGGAGGGCGGGGTCTCAGGACTAAGAGCAAATCATACCAGGCAAATGTCCTGTGCTCACCACTATCTTGGTGCCAAGGCTCATGCCATACCTCATTTCTGTCTTTCCTCTGCTTACTGGACATTTTGCCCACTTGTCATTTTTACTGTGACTTCTGCCTCCTGGCTGTTCCCTAACTCTCTGTCCCCCACATCTCTCCAGTTCCTCTCCTTCTGCACTATTCTCCAACATTAGCCCACACTTAATGTATCATGAGATGTGCATGTACAGATGCTTCCCAGCTTGTGGAGAACTTTTAACTTAGTAACTTTTAGAGGCCCAGTACTCGAAGTATTTTCATCTTCGGCCAGGCCCCCAGCCCCCTTGTCCTGAAAACAAATCCATGGACTCATCCCTGCCTGTGTCATACAGATATTTGTAATGGGACTTTTCCCTTACAACACAGTCTACGTACACTTCACTCACATTTTTGTGCTTTCAGGTTGTTGGCATGGAGTAGAGGCTGAGGAGGCCCCCCCTGAGCAGACTGCTTCTACAGAAGAAGTGTCACAGGCCAGTTCTCCAAAGCCAGGTCCTTCCGTCTCAAATGCTCATCCCTGTGAGATATGTATCCTGGCCATGAAAGATACATTTTACCTGGCTGAGCACCAGGGAGCACTTCCTGGGCAGAAACTGTACACTTGTGTGGCATGTGGGAAACACTTTTCATTCAATTCGAACCTACACCAGAACCAGAACCAGAACCAGCACAGCGAAGATAAACATGTCAGAATGGAGGACAACAGGACCTTGCTTGTAAATACCTGCAAAATCCCTGTGTCAGGCAACATTTTTACATGCAAAGATGTCGAGAAGGATTTCCTAGTCACCCCGGGCCTTCTCCAGCACCACAATACCCACAGTGGAGAGTATCCACATAGAAGCAGGGAGACCTTTCACACTCAGCAAAGGCACTACAAGTGTAACAAATGTGAGCAAGTTTTCAAGGAGAAGGTTCATGTCATTGAGCATCAGAGAGTTCACACTGGAGAAAAAGCTTATAAACGCAGTGAATGTGGAAAATCCTTGAACTGTAAATACTCACTTGTTCGGCGTCGTAGAACCCATAATGGAGAAAAACCTTACGTGTGTAATGTGTGTGGGAAATCATTCCTCCATAAGCAAACACTTGTTGGGCACCAGCAGAGAATTCACACTGGAGAAAAGTCTTATGTGTGCATTGAATGTGGGAAATCCTTAAGTTCTAAATACTCACTTATTGAACACCAGAGAACCCATAATGGAGAAAAGCCTTATGTGTGCAGTATATGTGGGAAATCATTCCGCCACAAACAAACATTTGTTGGGCATCAGCAGAGAATCCACAGTGGAGAAAGGCCTTACGTGTGCATAGAATGTGGGAAATCTTTTATTCGATCCTCTGACCACATGCGACACCAGAGAATTCACACTGGAGAAAGGACTTACGTGTGCAGTGAATGTGGGAAATCCTTCATTTACAAACAGTCACTTCTTGATCACCAGAGAATCCACACTGGAGAAAGGCCTTATGAGTGCAACGAATGTGAGAAAGCCTTCATCCATAAAAGAAGACTTCTTGAGCACCAGAGGATCCACACTGGAGAAAAGCTTTATGTGTGTGTCAAATGTGGAAAATCATTTATTCGATCCTCTGACTACATGCGACACCAGAGAATTCACACTGGAGAAAGGGCTTATAAGTGCAGTGAATGTGGGAAAGCCTTCATCTCCAAACAAACACTTCTTAAGCACCACAAAATCCACACCAGGGAAAAGCCTTATGAATGTAATGAATGCAGGAAAGGCTTCTACCTCGAGCACAAGCTTTTTCAACACCAAAGAATCCACATTAAAGAACAACTTTATGAATGCAGTGAATGTGGGAAAGCCTTCAGCCACAAAAAAAGACTGCTTGAGCACCAGAAAGTTCACACTGGAGAAAAACCCTGTGAATGTAGTCAATGTGGAAAATGCTTTAAACACTATACCAGCCTCATTCAACACCAGAAAGTTCACACTGGAGAGAGGCCTTATAAATGCACTGCCTGTGAGAAGTCCTTCATCTACAAAAACAAACTTGTAGAGCATCAGAGAATCCACACTGGAGAAAAGCCATATGAGTGCAGCAAATGTGGGAAAACCTTCAACAAAAGGTATTCCCTCATCAGACACCAGAAAGTTCATACACGAGAAAGGCCCTAGCCGTTGATGGGATGTGTGATTACCTTGTTCACCAAAATACCAGAGAGCACATTTTTCAAGGCATCTATCAGACAAAAAGTGAACCTCATATATCTGAAGATCAACAGTTGGATGATTCACTGTGAGGTCCAAGTACTTAGGAAGCTTTCTGGACTTGTGCTTTCTTATCTGCCCGGCATTGCAGCATACACTGCAATGTGGCGTATCCCCACAGTGCCCGTCAGTCACTCAGATGTGCTGAAGGCATGCAGACCTATGTGTTCACCACATTCTGAAGGGAATTGTGAATAATATGAGCCTATTGGGGGGTCCTCTTCCAAACTGCTGGATTAAGGCATAGACAGGACCTATCTTTGGCCAAGAAGAGTTATTTGGGTTCTGGTAGCCTATGGAGGTTTACCTTCTTTGTGGATATCATTTTTTAATGTGAATGCCATGGTGGGGCTTTCCCTACCCCACCGAAGAGGAAAATGGCACATCTTACCATTTGCTGATGTTTGTGCTAAACACCTTATTGTTTAGACCACCTTTAACCTTGGAGGTTGTGTGCACTGTGTGGCTTGGGTTTAGAGCAGAATTATTATCTATCAGTATGAAGGGTGAACAGCTTTTGTGGGAACTACAACTTTATGTGCCCCCAAGGGCACAGGATGATGTCAGAGCATAGTTCTTAGTTCTGTTTATCTTAATTTTCATTGTTTTCCAAGGTCTCCTAAGAGAGACAGCAGAGCTACATTATGTGGCATGGTTGCCAGATTTATTTGTAGGTCCAGAGGTCTCCCTGAGAAGAGGCATTTCTGACACTCAAGTACTGGGATCTGCATGAATTTATCTTTGATCCCAGTGATGCCTCATATTTCCTAGCATTGGTCATGGAAAGCTGCTTCCCAGGTCCTTCAGCATAACTGTGTTCACTGAAGGACAGAATTTGGTAGGCAGGTCACTGGTTGTTAGACCTGCTAGGGCCAGACAAGAACAATAATTGGCCCAGAGACCTACGGTGTGATAAATAGTGAGAAAATTGCGGGCAAGAACAGTGAATATGTCCCATCTATAGGTGCATCCAAAAATATCCATGTTACTATGGCTTCATGGTTTGGGAGTATATAGCAATTCTCAGGACTGCAGGCCTTTGTTTTTCCTGTGGCCACTGTCATTGTCATCATGAGTAATCTAAGATTTTGTGAACTCACATAACTTTTCTGAACTGTTTTTGAGATGATTGCTACACAGGCAGGAAAGCAGTACTTGAGAGAACGTAGCCCTTGTAGTCCATATTTGTGGTTTTGTGACTTGGCCAAATCTGTTGTGTCAGATGGAAATTATCTTCATTACTTGCCACTTACTGCTGCCACTGAGAGGGCTGTCCTTCCTAACTTGTGAGATGAATCCTTAATTATAAGTAAATCTCGTGTTACCAAATAGTTTGGTTTTCCAAAAAGTGGGATAGATGCATATTTTTGTGTGGAACCATTTATTTTATAACGTTGAGGTGTACTTTTCATACAACAGAACTTTCTCTTCATATGGTTTGTCACCTTCAGTAATCTCAATAAAAGCTATATATTAGAAATATATGCATGTATGTTCTGTGTCTTTTCATTTACTTTATTTCATTTGGTTTTCCAAAGAAAACGTTTTTAATTTTAAAGTTGAATTCGTCTATTTGTTCTTGTACTGATTGTTCTTTTGGTGTTATTGAAAGGAATGTATGCCTAATTTAAAGATACAATATTTCATGTGTTTCCTTCTGAAACCTTTACAGTTTAGGTTTTCTATTTATGATCATATTCATTTAATTTCTGTAAGTTCTTTTTAAAGATATGAATGATACCCAGTTTCAGCAACATTAATTTAAAAGATCTTTCTTCACTGGGTTGCTTTTGTACCTGTATCAGTTATTTATGTATATGTTTCTTTCTGCACTTTCTATTCTGTTATATTTATGTATTTGTATTTATGCTGGTACTTTTATGTGTTGACAGATGTGTTTCTATAATAAGTCTTGAAATCAAGGTCGTGTACTACTTGACTGTCTATTAATATGTCATAGATACTTTGGCCATCTTTGGGCTTTTACATTTCCATATCAATTATAGATCCAGTTGTCAATTTCTATGATAAGAAAAAAACTACTGGGATTTTGATTGCGATGGCATTTAATCTATAGAGCAATTTAGGACATACTGAGTGTTCTAATCACTAAACATGAAATATCTATTCTCTTATTTAGGTCTTATTTAATTTTTGTCTGCAGTGTTACAGTTCTCTGTGGATACATCTTGCAAATCTTACAAATCTCCAAGTACTTTCTATATCTGATGCTATGGTAAACCTTAATTGTATTGGCTACATTTTCATATTTTTTATATTCTTGATGCTCTGGCATTATGGACTTTGATCCTGAAAAGATTGCCCCTCCCAGAGATACTTAATTCCTAGAAATAACAAACTACTCTTCTATGAGCATGACCTTTATATATAAACCAATCAGTCCATAGCCTGCATCCCAATCATCTCTATCAGACTCACACACCAAGCCAAAATTTCCCCTGCTCTAAATCAGCCCAGGGCTGAGGTGCTGAACATCTAGGGATCACCTATGTAACTCAGAGGTGCCTGAAATTATTCAAACTATCCAGTCCTAAGCATACTCAGTGCATCTACCTTTCCTTGTCCATTCCTTCCTGCAAAATGACTCTGTGTCATGCTCTCCTCTCCCCTCCTGCCTTCTAACCAACGCTAATCCTTCCCCATGTGACCGCTCTTGGTATGCCGTGCCTCCTGTTTCTAGAATTCTGGGAGTATAACCTTCCTTCATGACAGTCATTTCTGTGTCTCTGTTGGCTTACCATACTTGATTAACACATCAACTGCCATGTGAGTTGTATTTGACTCACACTAGTTTTGAGTCTCGTGAAGCATATGGAACTCACACATCTCTTTACCTTGAGCTCTGTGAACTCTGAAAAACTGTTTTTCAAGTTGCATATAACTCACACAC